ATTCTGTTGATCTACTTTGCTGGTATGTTGTAGTGACTGAGCCCTTTTTTTCTGTTAGGAGCACATTTAAGAAATTCAGTTCTAGGAAGTGAATTTTGCCTTGTTTTTAGCTTCTGATGTGAAGAAAAATTTCCATGCCTTCAATTTCTTATAAAAATGAGTCTGTGGGAAGTCCTAATATTTATTTCAACTGTAGGCATGCAGCAATGCAATAATGATACATGGTGAGAGGGAGAAAAGGGGGAGAGAGAATTGAAGAAAAATGGAAAGTTAAATACCCAAATCTCTAAAATTTGCAATTCAATTAGTAGTAATGCAAGATGGAATTCCAATCCTCTAGAAACAGTACTGTGAAGGCATAACAAAAAGGCAAATAGCTTTTTGCAAATTATTTTCATGGGATAACAGATGATGATTTTAAGATTTTTACATATATGCTTCAATTTTTATTAATATATGAAGCCATATGTTTAAAGAGATACTTGAATAATTTGGAATTTTAAGATACTGGTTTAAAAGAGTTTACAGTAACATCTTTGTGCAGAGGAGAACCTGAAAGGAGGTCTCATTTAGTTTTTTTAGATTTATTTTTATAATGCTTAATTAACTAATGGTGGTAAAGAGAATCCATGGACATCTAATTAAAAATTAGAGCAATAAAACCACTGGTCAAAGAGCTCTTATTGTCAGGATGGTATTTCACAACATAATTTTAGATCTTTTAATAAAAAATATGTAAGGTTTGGACCTCAGGAAAAATTGAAATGCAGAAAATACCATGTGGCTTAAGGATTTTGCAGTCCTGGTAGTAACCATTGATTAGGTAGATACATACATAATCCTCTTTTTTTCTTAATCAAGTGTCTAGTGTAGAATATGCTTTGCTTTCTGAGATGTACTGGAATGACACACTTTCTTCCCTAACCCCCACCCAAAATAGACCTCTCACTAAGCAGGCTGGTAAGAAAGTGTGTTTTTTAAAGAAAAGAAATTTAACTTTAGCATAAGCAAATAGTCACATCTCATCTTCCTTTATAAAATGGGATTACTACTGGCCCTACCTCATGAGGGTATTCTATAAGAACTAATTAGTTGTTTCAAATCATGAAATGCACAGCATCATACATGATAGACTATTTATATCTTTTATTAGATGTTTAATGTTCATTAGGTAATTTTAATGCGAAAATAAAAGCATACACATGAGGAAATACCCTAAGTATTTTCATATTTTTAAACAAGGCAGTTTTGTAGTCTTCTAAGATTAAATACACCTGCTTTTTTTTTTTTTTTAAATTTTGCTTGTTTTTTTTAAACTGACTTTGGGATATTTTTTGTGAGCAGCTAACCTCTGGGAGTTCAGAAAAGTCTGAAATGTGTTTTCAGCCTTAATGCAGTGCATATTGCCTGGATCAATTTTCAAAGACAAGTCAAAACCTGCTGTGTTAAAAATAATAACTTGTTGATTTTCATCAGATTTGTTGATGGTGTAAATAAAATTTGTAAATGTATTAATAAATGTTAATATTCATGTATTTTAAGTTAAGGTTATAAAATTTATCACAATGTGATTTTTAAATTCAAGTGAACAGATGTGTGCAGCTATTTTGGATACTGGATTATAAACATTCATTTTCTTTATCTAATGAATGAATTTGTAGTTTTTTGTATTTCATTTCACTACTCTTAACTTGAAAGGAACAGTTCAAGGAACTGACTATTTAGGGCTCTCTGGTTCCAGAGCCAATGCATATCCCTTTTGGTGATCCCACATACATCAAATGAAAGAACAAAGTTAGAGTCAGTTGAGAGATTTATAGGAATTAAGGAGAGTAAAATCTGAGTACTACTATAGTTATCTGCAGTGGTTACTTAAGTTTTATATTTAAAAGTTTTGTGAAAGTTGGGCAGAGGCTATATTTCAAAAATACCATTGATAATGTAAGCAACATTACCTCAATTAAAAAAATTGTGAAAGTATAATAAATTTGAAAGTATTTCTAAGGACTTCTCTTTTAATAATTTTTCCTTCATTCTATTGCCTTAATTGTGTATTAGTTTTTTTCATCCCCCTTTTGCTATGGCTTCCTTCACATAATGGAGTCGGTTATTTTGTCCAGTTTTTTAATATAATATGGGTTTTTTTTTTCCTGGCAGTTTTAAAATTTTTGTTGTTATTCAGTTGCCTTCATAATTATGAATTAATATAACCTCCCTGCTACTAAAGCAGGAACGTTTGTAATTTTTCTATTGCGATGGGTATTGTTACCAGTTGATTCCTTCTTTAGGATAAATTTTGGAGGCTGAGATAACTAAAGAGTAGGATTGTTTTTATACATTCTTTTTTTCATTTTGGGAAAAGTGGTAAAACCAAATCTGACATCAGTTTGCCTCTTTTAGTAAGCCTCTCCCAAATTTGGGAAAGCCATCTCAGGTATTCCTTTTTAGGTTACTAGTGCTTGGGCCAAATTTAGGGAATAGAGAATTTTTAAAGTAACCATTCAGCGGTATCGTGACTAAACCCCTATCTTTGAAAAGATCTGCATGATTTTGACAAAGAATAAACTTTAGGAGAGCTAGAAGCCGGGTGAATTAGCCTTAAGTCTGGGGACCTCGAGAACGTTTCTCTGGCTGAAAACCCTCCACATCCTGATACTGTGGCCTGTCGTCGTAGAGCTTTTTGCTTAATTTTGCTACTAATCTGACAATTTCCGCCTCTTTCCTTGCCCCGGGTACCGTAAAGCTCGGAAATTTAAATTGGCACTGATTTATGCCCAGAGCAAACTCGCCAAGACTCAAAGATAATTCCTTTCCGCCGGTCTACAGACTTTAAGAGATTTCGAGTTTCTAAGGAAACTGCACATTGACATTTCCTTCAAAAAGTCAAACCGGGAGCTCCCTTTTCCTTTAACTTGACAGACGCCGATCTGCCGCTCCCCGCGGGTCGGTCTTCCGGTCCCGCCAAGTTCCCGGGAGCCTGTGCTCTCGGCGGAGGCTGCCATTGGGTGCCAGCGTGCGCGTCCCCTCGCCTCGCGTCGGCGTTGACTGCTGGGTTTCAGGTCTGCGCAGGCGATTGGCTGGCTGAGCTCGCGGCGATTGGGCGCTGGAGTTGGGGGTGGGAGGCGCGAATTTTTCGGGAGCGAGTTTAGGGGAAGAGTGAAGAAGCTGAAGCGCGAAGGTAAAGTTGTCTGGAGCCCGCGAGCCGGCCTGGACACTAGCAGCCCGGCGATGCAGAGAGACTGGTGACCTTAACTTTCGTCCAGCGGAAGGGAGCTGGCTGGGCCCTCAGAGGTTTTCTCAGAGCGGGAAGCCAGTCTCGGAAGGGCGCCAAGCTTGCCTGTGGGTGTTGGCTGAACCGCCTGGATGTCCCCTGGCTGAGGGAGGAGGGAAACGTGAGGGAGGAAACCTGGAGAGAAGGGAGCCAGCCCTTAACTCCGTGCACCAGAGGCCTGTGAGGAGCCCGCTGGCCTCTCGGCGGGAGACGGGGGGTGGGGGGTAGTTTCTTCTCTGTGCACGATGGGGAGGACGCTATCGCGTCGCGACGCGGGCGTGTTGGCCCCACTGGGGCGGGGATGGGCTGGTTAGTTTGTTACCTGTAGCGACAGGCCAGTGCCGAGTTGGTTCGATCGCGGCGTTACTTACCACCAAGCCTTATTCCCAGAGCTTCACGCTATCACTTGTTAGAAATGGAAACTGACCTGGAGCAGTGACCCTAACTTCTGGACTGTGTAAGCTGCGGTTAAGTTTATTATTCCACACTCTTTAAAATTGCCATTTTTATCATCCCTTTTTTCCAAATTGAATTTACCGTGTTTTTTCACTGTTGCAAGTAATTCTTCAGTTGTAACAGTGTGTATCACCACTCTCTTTCTCCTCTCCCTCCCCCTCCCCCTTATTTTCAATAATTTCTTTAGGCTATTTCTGGGAATGAGAGTGAGAAATTGATGGACTTTTTTTTTTTTTTTTTTTGTAAAGTGAGCAAGCATGCATGCAATATCAAAAGGTCAGTCTCTGAATTTCATCTGTGGATCCTAGGGTAAGCAAAGATGTTTTAGGTTTTAGAAGGGGTGGGGATTAAAAGCGGAGCTCTCTTCCTGTATCATATATGACGTCTAGGCTTGTATACTTTCCTTTACTTCTTAACCCTGTCTGGCTAATGGTTGTAAAAACCCTATCAGGTAGGTGGTAATAGCCCCATTTCATAGATGAAGAAACAGGCCTGAGAGGTTAAGTGATTCACACAATAGAATTCACATTTAAACTTGCCTGATCCAAACACTATCTTCTTCCCCTTGTTACACTCCTGACCTTTAAGTAAGATTTACAGAGCCACCTGCTCCATGCCAAGGTGTTTCTCCTTATAATAGTTTTCAGATTGGGGGTTATTACAGATAAATAGCTTAGAGAATAAAGAGACAACGTTGAAGGTAACTTTGAGTCATTGTCACATCCTGGTCTAGAACTTTAATATTAGCTTATTAACTTCTTGCTCCATTGCTTTTCCTTTCTAACTGGAAGAAAATAAGGTACAGAACAGGGGGAAAAGAATAGTGCTGGTGGGGCTGCAGAGTTGCCTCAATAAACTAGTTTCAAAAAGTTTATTTTATCTCATCTATCACAAGAGCTCGTATTTAATGGGGCATGTACTGTGTCCTTCTTGTACATTATTTCAGTTAATCTTTATAACAATTCTATGAGGTAGGTACGGCTTCTATCCTTATTTTATAGATGAGGATGCTTAGGCTGTAAGACCCAGAGCAGTAGTTTGCTCAAAGCCCTACAACTAAATACATGCGAAGCATCCAAGACAAGCTCTCATTCACTGTGATTTATAAGATTAGGATTTTTTTTTTGTTTCCATATAACTTATATGTTTATTCCAAGTTTTGTTTCTAGACTTTGAGTGTAGACTTTGATTTTTTTTTTTTACTGTTTCTATATTGATTTTAGTTTCTTTTGCAGTCAGCAGTTAAAGAACCTGAAGTAAACAAGAAAGCATTATGTCTTCAGAATGGTCTGAATATACAATTGGTGGGGTGAAGATTAATTTTCCTTGTAAAGCTTATCCATCACAGCTTGCTATGATGAATTCTGTAAGTATTTTTCAGTAATTTTATTAAGATATAGGTGCTTTTGAGTCAAAACATACATTTAGTCTGTGACTACATTCATTTGCTCAGATAGTAAATAGGTTAAAGATATTTGCTGGGTTCTTGGAAGAGCATCTAAACTTTGGGAAAATAATACTGATCATTGTTAAATTATTATTTCCATGGTTAGGGAGGCAAAGGAGAACATTCTGAGAAATATACACCTTTCATTTGGAACTTTTACTGCTTTATGCAATTACTGCTTTCTTTTTTTTTTTTTTTAAGATTTTTTATTTATTCATACAGAATTGGGGTCAAAGATACAGGGGTGGTGAGAGGCTTCACCAAAGACAGAGTAGGGAATAGAACAGACAGATTGATGAAGTATACTGCTAAGGGGATGCAGCTGGCTGGTCAGGAGAGGTCTGCTGCACCACGTGCGTCACCTGGCTGGGGATTGAACTCACACTGAAATGGCTGCGGCTAGCTTGCAGTGCTGCGTCTTAACCAGTGGTGCCACCAGCAAGGGAGGGCCCAATTATTGTTTTCTATAAATTATTTACTGTCTTTTACACAGAGTACTGTATTTCTCACCATAGTATTTTTGGGGCATTTCAACCATATATAAAATGAAATCACAAACTGTGTAAACCAGCTTTCCTGCTTTGGTAAATCTAAAGCATTTAGATTTAAGTGTTTTGCCATATTTATTTTATATCTTGTTTATGATTAACAAGATAGCTAGTTTCCTAACTTTGTGCTTTCTCTTTTCTTCCTTGCTATTTATTTTTTAAGATTTATTTATTTATGCATATAAGAACTGGGTACAGGCTGGGTAAGGTGAGTGAGAGGATTTACCAGAGACAGAGTTGGGAGCAAAACAGGCAGATCTGCTGAAATACACTGCTGAGGGGAGCAGCAGGTGGGTCAGGAGAGGTCTGCTATGCCATGTGGGTTACCTCCCTGGCTGGGGATGGAACTTGTACTGCAGTGGCTGTGATAGCTTCATAGTGCTGCTCTTTAACCTGTTATACCACCAGGGAGGGCCCTTCCTTGCCATGTTTTGATACTTGCCTCACTGTGTATGTACTCATAAGTATTATAAAGCATTACTTTTTTTTGGACTTTGCACAATGATATGATACTATACCTATCTTTCTGAAAAATTCGATTTTTTTTGTTAACTTTATTTTTAAGCTATAGCCTGTTGATTGTTAATCCCTTTCAATTGCCATATAGTACTGCACTGTATATTTTCCACTGCCCATTTAAGTTTTTTGCAGTGACATACAATGCTGCTGTGACCTTTCTTTCCTTATTTGCAACCTAAAAACTTGTGGGAGTTGGATGTTTTCAGTTTTACTAGAGATTGTTAATTTATGTATAAACAGATTATAATAATTTATATTACCATTAACGATATCCCTCATTAAGTCCTCATTAAAGATATTAGAATATATAGGCTAATTTTACAGAAATGGTGGTAATCTAAGGCACAGTTACATAAGAAAAAAGCGACTGCACTTTTTTTTTTTGAACCTATTAGAAGGGCTTTTAAGCTCACATAATTTAGGGAGAGGTGTATAGGCATTAGGTCTAGATTTAACTCATTACTGGCTCACTCTCTTCTGCTATTGCTGTATTCTCTAGAGTGCAACTTCACTTACTGTATTTGTACTTCTGATAAAGGCCCAAATGAAATAAATAGTTTATGAATTTTTTTATATTTTTGTGTCCATAGATTGTCAGAGGACTAAACAGTAAGCAACATTGTTTACTGGAAAGTCCCACAGGAAGTGGGAAAAGCTTAGCCTTACTTTGTTCTGCTTTAGCATGGCAACAATCTTTTAGCGGTAAGTAGTTGATGGATACCTTCTGTTGCTTATTGGGACCTGAAAAATATAGTAGAATATGTACAGAATGGTTCGGTCTTGTTCTAGCTGACTTGATATACCCATGTAAGATGTTTCTTTATATTACAAATCTTTTAAAAGTTTTGATATAGCAGGATATGTTCAGTTAATACTACAACAATTTTGGATATAATGTAGTCCTTTACTTGATGATTCAGGGAGTACCTAAGGGTCTGGAGTGCTTAAAGTTATCATTATGTAAGTAATTATTGATAGTTTGTATGAAAAATATTAAATAAAAGAGATGAGACTATAATGATATAACATATTGACTGTGTTTTATTTAATTAATCCTTTAATATATTTGCTTATCTATTCCTTATAACATTGGAATGTAGAATAGAGAATATATTTTATTTTATTTTTTTTTAAAGATTTATTTATTTATTTATTTTTAAATTATTACAAAAGGTTATTTTTATATCATTTTGCACATATTTTTCCATCTCGATTGTAATCGCCACGGGTTTCCCATCACCAAATCACCCACCAAATGCATAGTCCTATGCATTTCCCTCCCTTCCCCCCCCCCCTTTTTTTGATCCCATTCCCCACTCCACCCCCACAACATGTCTCTGGTATATGGTTGTTCATTATTTTTGTTATTTTCTCGCCTGGTCCATTATACTCCTGCTATGAGTGAAACCATCCGGTATTTTTCTTTCTCTTTCTGGCTTATCTCACTAAGCATGATCTTTTCCAGCTCCATCCAAGTTGCTGCAAAAGACATGTGTTTCTCTTTTTTGGTTGCTGAGTAATATTCCATTGTATATATGTACCACATCTTAGAATAGAGAATATATTTTAAAGAAGCTTTTGTTTGGATGCCAGATAAGCAGAAGTTGAATGTATTATTCTTTGTGTCAATTCTAATTATTTCCCTAAATGGCTACCAACATTTACCTTTATGAAAGACTATATAAAATACATAATGAATCTGTAAATGTAATGTTGGATACATTTTAATATTACTCATATGACTTTGTTCCTAAGATATTAGAATAATTTAAAGTTAACTGGACGCTGAGAGTATATATGTATATGTTTATATATATAGTACATAATGTATTAGTATTATAGATGGGAGGACAGTGTCAGTGCTATTTGTAAAATATAAAATAAATTATTTAGCTTTTTTGTATTTATAGATTGTTTGAGATATACCTATTGTATATATAATTATATAATCACATATAGTGTAAACTTCCTAGAACTGATACATCATAAACATGCGATTTAAAATAGAAGTGTAATGTGGAATGATTTATTTAAAATGTTGAATTTTCAATTTCTTCATTTAAGAAGTTAGCAGTTATAAGAAAAATGCCTTTTTTACTTTAATCTTCCCTGCTTGATTTTTTTTAAAAAAGATTTATTTATTTGTGCATACAGAACTTGCGTACAGGCCAGTGGCTCAGGGGCGGCGA